AGTATAATATAAATTTATAATCAAATTATAAAAATTAATACACATTTATATTATTATATTCATTACCATAAAATCAATATACATCAAAACTCTTCAAGCCCAAATCAAATATAAACACAAAAGAAACACATAAATTCAAACTCACCTCAAAATTTAAATAAAAACCAAACTCAAATTCAAATTTATCCAAGACTACGTAAAGAAACACACCCTTAAAGTTTTTTTTGTTTTGGATTTATATATAAGTATTTTAATAGAACTATTTATAAAATATATATTATTTTTATTAAAATATGTTTGTAAAAATATTTATTAAAATTGAAAACTTAAAGTAAACATATTTTTGATTAATCAAGGAATACTGATAAAGTTAATTTTAGTTATTTATTAACTATTCGGTTATGCTTTGAGTTTTTTTAATAGTATCAATTAATATTTTAAATATTATTTATTTTAATAAAATATAAGTGCAAGCTACTGGTATATTTCTTTTGATAAATTTGGTATTAAAATAATGTTTAATAAAATATTTTGTAAGAGAAAAAAATGTATTTTTTTCGAAAAATAGAGAGTCCAAATAGTAAAATTTGAAAAATTTTGGGGTAAAGAAACATACTTACATCTGACACATTGACATGTTTCTATATCGTATATGATATTGTTATGATTTTTTCAAATAACACCGATTTAAAATTCCAAAAAATATTCGTTTTAAATATAATATATATTTTATTTTATTGAACATATGCTATCTGAACTCTTGATCGATATTTTTTGAATTCCAGATTGATGCTTTTTAGACCCTTAATTGGTATTGTCTACCTTGCTCGGAGTGGTCACAAATTTTGTTGGGTTGATTCATGATTTGTTACGAATGCCCATTTGTAGATGCACGCCCATATTCACATCACTATTTGACCAAGATCTCCGGCAGCTCCGAACATTGGCAACTCTCAACGACCAACAACAGCTCAACAACTTAAGCTTCGGCGTGCAGCAAGTCGCAGTGGTCAGCGATGACAACTCTCTAGATGTATCGGCTTAAACTCTAGGTGTACACAACTAGGGGTGAGCAAAATATTTGAAATCTGAAAACTCAATTCGAAATTTAAAATTTGGTTCGGATTTTTCGGATTTGATCGGATTGAATTTTTAACAAATTTCGGATTTTCGGATCGGATCGGATCCGTATACTTAAAATCCGAACCAATCCGAAATATAACATTTTAATATAACTTTTTATTATATATATTTAAAATTTTATTAGAAAATATTATATTTTAATATAAAAAACTCAAATTTATTAATTATATTTTAATATATTTAATTTTTATATATTATATATATATTTAATATTATAAAATAATAATAAAATATAAAAGAAATTTAAAAATAAAAAAAATAATAAAAATATTTAGAATTTCGGATATTTCAGTTTGATTCGGATTTTTTAGTTCGGATTACGGATTTTCGAATTTCAGATTTCGGTTATTTCGGTTCGGTTCGGATTGGTTTTTTCAAAAATTTCGGAACCAAACCGAAAATCCGAATGCTCACCCCTAACACAACCCATGTTAATCTTATCCACACTGTAGAATTCGGCCGATACTTTAAGCCTCAACACTTATCAATGTAGAACTGTTAACAAGTCAAAATGAGCCTAGTTTTTTATATGTTTGACTACGGCTCGTTAAGAACTTGAGTTAAACTCGTGTTCTTTTATTACAAGTTAAAATTTTTTATTTGAGTTTGACTCATTAAACAATTTTTTGTGTTCGTGTACGGCTCGAATTGGATTGTTAAAGAGATATTTTTATTTATTTTAAATTTAAATTCAACTAATAAACTATTTATTTATGAATACATTTACATAAAAAAAAAAATTAAAAAAAAATAAAATTGTTTATAACTTCCGTGTGGTTTCGAAACTAAGCGTAAATTTCCCATTTATTTTAAAAATTACATTGCGCTCCCTTATACTTTCAAAACGTTGCATGAAACCCCTATGCGGTTTCAAAACTCAGCGTAAATCCCCATTTTACTTTAAAAAATTACATGACGTCCCCTTATATTTTTAACAATATTGCATGAAAACCCCTGTCATACAAAATATATAGATAAGGAAATCATTTTCTCATCACGAGAAGTTTCATGGTAGTTATATTTCATGTAATGTTTTTTAAAATATAAGTGAATGTCATGCAATTTTTAAAGTACAATGAGATTTGACGTCCCAAAATAAAAATGCGTATACTTTCTAGTTGGACGGAAAGAGTATTAGCAAGACATATATACTCCCTTTGTCAATTGATAAATTTTTCATATTTGATTTTCATACGCGAAATAAAGTAAATTAATATTTTACTGATATATATTGTGAAAAGTGGTGTAATATCTATTTTATTTATGACATTAACATAAAAATGATATGAAAAAGTAAAAAAATAAAAATAAAAATTGATATTTATTTAATAGTTACGTTTACTAAAAAAATAGAATAAAAATTTTGATTGGAACAAATAAAATAGTAAACTAAAATTTTTTATCTTAAATAAAAAGAGTGTTTATTATATATAAAAATATTAATTTATTGTTTTTATTTATTTTTTTAACAAATACTATTGAAGATTCCTTAGAGCAATTTCAAGGGCATCCCTCGTAAATCTGACGTGTCAAATGGAACGGCCACAGTTGATGAATAAAAAAGTAAATTTGTGTACAATAGCTTTTTATTTCTCTTTTATTTTATTTTTTTAATTAAAAAATCTAGGGTTTCTTTTTTTAATGGAATACGAATAGAAACTCACATTCTCATTCATCTTTGCAAATATCAGTGCTATTCTTCTTCGTGAACACTCTCGCGCGGGCCGTCGTCATTCCACGCTAGAAGCTCGTCTCAGTGGTTAACTTGGAAAGGTAAAAGAAAGTCCTTATCGCATTCTCTTTTCCTGTTGCGGTAAGATGGTTTGTTTGATTTTTGGTTTGTATGAGTTTTGATTTCCACTACCGGGTGAATCTCGATTTTTAGATTTCATTTCCGTAGAAATTTGTGGCGACTTGTTTTCGATGTTGATTTCTCTTTAATCTTGGTTGAATAATATCACATGTTTTGAATTTTCGATATATTTTGGCTTTGCTTTCAAAATTTAAGAGCAACATTCCTATGAAAACTTGGGTACTTGATTTTGTGTTGGGATGCAATTGCTAGGTCGGGATACTTGTTAGTACAAACCGTGTGAAAGTCGAAATCTTTGGAAATATAATACTATGTGCAATTGAAAATTGATTATGTGTTTATCAGTTCGAAGAGAAATGATTATTCTAATTTATAATGTTAAAATTCTAAAATCCTTGATTTATAATCTTTGGAAGAATGATTTTTGGAACTTGCTACTATAAAATGCAAGTAATTCCAAGATTGTTAAATTTTAGTGAGTATGCCACTTTTGTTGTGCAGTTGTTTGAGTTTCTTATTAGACATGTTTATACAAAGTTTAACTACTCTTATTCCATAATATTAAGTTAAAATGGATGGTCGTGATGGGATAGAGTGGATGATGTGGAAGATTTAGCGGATTTGTCTCAAACAACTAAGAAGTCCCGGACAATGCCAAATAGCTCATCAGGTCCTTGTATTGACAACAGCCTGAATTTGCCTCAAATTCAAAATTCATTCCTGAACCAATACAACACGAACTTTGGTGCTCCTTTCAACCCAATGCAATACTATCAACCCCGAGGTGATCCCATGTTTTACACTAATATGTGGAGTTTTATACCATCTGGGGGTTCACCTCAAGTTCTATATCACGAGACATAGACATCACAAGCCAACACGTCTCCCTTGACTTTTAACCGTCCATCATTACAACGTCAAATTGTTTCCCAAAGCATCCCCGGTGTAAGGTCTACTGAAACAAACCAGCATGCAAATAAGAAGTGGAGCACTGAAGAGGATGTTGAGTTGTCCACTGCCTGGTGTAATATAACGACGGATGCGCGAGTTGGTGTCGGACAAAAAAAAGTAAGGTTATGGGAGCGAGTATGCAAGAATTTTATCGTTCTTATGCAAGAGAACCATGGAGTTATAAGATTAGAGAATAAAAGAACACCGGAAGGTTATGAGAATCGCTTGATGGAAATTCGAAACCAATGTACAAAATGGTCCGCCATACGAGTTCAGGCAGAGCCAAATTATAGGACGGATGGAGCCCAGTAGATTTCGTGAGTATTTTATCAACTGCCTTTAAATGCATACTTTTTTTTAGTTGTTTTTAATCTACGTATAATAATGCTTTTACAGGAACATTATTGTCACGTAACATATAAGGACAAACACAATTTGAGCTTCAAATGTGAGGCATGTTGGCAAGTATTGAAAGATCAACCCAAGTGGCTAGACCTTGTCGGTAGAAAGAAAAAAAGACCAAGGAGAGGTCTAGCACTTCTAGGAAAGCTGCAATAGATAAGCAAAATGAGACTCAAAGACCTATTGAGGTCTTGTTCCCAGTCTCTCCTATTGACGTGGTGTGGGGGAGATACCTATAAATACGGATTCGTCAGCGAAAGTCCCTATTCAGCCAGAATTAGAAGGCCCGGCTGCAATTGATTTGGAGCGCCCAATTGGAGTTAAAAAGGCGAAGGCTAGCAACAAACCAAATAATCAACGGCAATGAAGAATAAGGAATTATGAAGAGTCTCAAGTATCGGTTGCTCAAACAATTACTGTCAATTTGATGAAACTTGAATCTGCAAGTACTGGAAGATGGTCAAGAATTAAGGAGTTCGATCGAAAAACTCAATTGCAACTCGATGAGGAATATGAGGTGGCCTCTAAAAGATCTAAAAAGAAGGTGGTTTCAGATTTTGACTGTTCTTTTTTTTTTTTTTTGATCTCGTGTTATGTCAATCATGTTTACTTCTACTTTCAGGATTCAATAGACACAGGGACAGAATATGCAAATATAGCGAAATAGCTTGAAAACATTGGCGACAGGCTGATGGGTTCAATAACAAGACTGGAAGAACTGGATGAGGAAAACATACGCACCGAGTACCAGGAAAAATTATACAAAATACGGAAGGAGCAAGTGGAGTACTACACACGAGGTTATAATAGTATGTATATTTTTCTTTTTCAATTACAATATTATGAGATTTTGTTTTCTGATCTTGTCAAATTGTAGGGTTGAAATCAATTCTTGAATCGATTGACGAGACACTTTTGGGAAGTTGCCCCGAGACAAATTCAAGTAGCGAAAGTAGATATTGTTTCTTCATAAAGCCGTCCACAGTTCGTGAAAAAGTGTTACATGGAAGATACATAAGTGATCCCAATCCTACACAGACCATACAAACTAACTACTACATGCAACTAACGAAATAAAATACAAAAAAACATCAGTGCAGTAATAACTAAATTAGCCAACATTAGAAGATGTAGCGTTGAAATATCCTCCCTTTGTCTTTTCTCCTCATGGCCTGAACATGTACATCAACATGTAGTACCCGCACGTGGATGTTGCGAGCTTGCAGTTGAATCACCAGTGTAGAAAGATCTCTCTTTCTTCATTTCAAACTCTCGGTACGATTGTTCATTTAGATCATCCTCCCAACACAACCATTTATCACAGGGATTACATCTATAGTATAACCTACCTGGATTGTTGACACTCCTAGAAACTCTTAGCACACCGTCCCTCCCGCAAGAACATTTTCGCCCCATTTCCCACAAAACTCCTTATAAATTTCACAACTTTGCAAAACTGCACAACCATAAAAACATCACAACTATAACATTACGAGCATCCCATCCATTGGGTTTCATATCAAATGCCAACAAACTATCTTCGGAAAGATTCACAGAAATGAACAATAACAACATTAATGGTAGTCTAAAGCTTTCACAATTGTTATAACGAAATAGTATGTGATGTTAATCCACAACATCTAGACTAAAACCAGTCAGAATTTTAGTTCCATTGATAACATCAAATTCAAATTTGGACAAAAAATAGTTGAAGCAAAACTTAAAATCGAATGACTTCCCCACTGATATTCTACATATATCGATCAAATGTTTCTCCAAATTCATATTCAAATTTCTCAACATTAAACAATAAACCACAACAACCACAACGAGTTGCAACATCCATAAATAAAAAAAAACTAGTCTTTTGTCTTAAAACAATCTTTCATCATCTCTGAATATCAAACAGATAAACACACAATACTACATACTTAGAAATCATTACCAAAAAACTTCATAGAAACTTCGCGAGTTGGACAATTAGATGGTTCCAAAGGCAGATTGCACGATCACCCAAAATATATATGTTTAACTCCCCCTTCGCAGCAACAAAGCCCTAAATTTTGCTACCACCGAAGGAAACAGCGGGTTCAAAATGGACAACTTTTTTTTTGTTCGAGCCTCTCGAAGAGGTTGATGGGAGAGTACCTACACCAAAAAACGCTTGCCTTCGATGGACGGATAGGAGAAAAAAATGATGGAGAAAAACACTATGTAGAGAGAGAAATGAAGAAAGAACAGTGAAGAGAAGAATAAAATTGGGATTACCTGTCCGTCACCTGCACCAGGCACAAGTCAGGTTTTAATAAAAAGTTAGTATGGAATGCATTGCATTGTGTGCCCTTATTTTCGATTTAAAAATAGAAGGCCTCTGAATAATAAAAAATAACATCTCAAATAAAACTATTGTTAATGCTTTAACAACCCTCTCACCCTTTTCTCCCACAAAGGGTAGTCTCGAAAAGGGTAGTCTCGGAAAAAAAAAAAAAAAAAAAAAAAGTATTTCAATTAGTGTGTTTTAATACAAATATAATTACATTTTTACAAAAAAATTATACAAATATAAGGATATTTTTAATGTTAAGTATAATAACGAAAAAAGTAAATATAAACTTATTAAGTGTACGGAAGAAATATTAGTTTAATTTCCTACAAAATTCTATAATGGTACTTTGGAGTATAATTGTACCTTGAGTGAAGCATGTGTTTAAACTAACAAAAAGTTAGATTAGGAAATAATAAGGAATCTATAAGATTAATTTGGTTGGGCACGTGGGTCTAGTTACATGGTGGAGCATGCCGCAGATTAGTTTTATAAGTGAAAAATTTTTGTTGTTTTAGTCCGCCGGCGCTGGAGACGCCCGCGTGGCTCGCTGGAATCCAAGTGTCCGCAAGGACAGCGACACTTGGCGGACACGTAGATTTTATTTTATTTTTTTATTTTATTTTTATTTTTTTTTAAATTTATTTTTAATTTAATTTTAATTTAATTTGTCTTTTTGTAAAAAAATTTTTATTCGGTCCAATTGAAAAGAAATTAAAAAAAATTATAAAATAAAATAAAATCCACGTGTCCGTCAGGTGGCACTGACCTGGCGGGATACCTGACGGACATGTGGATTCCGGCAAGCCACGAGAACGTTTTCGGCGCCGAAGGACTAAAACAACGAAAATTTTTCACTTATAAGATTAGTTTGCGATAGGCTCCACTTACAAGACTAAAATGATAAAGAAGTTAGTTAATGGACTAAAAAAAAGTTTATTCTTTTTTTTTTTAATATTATTATTATCAAGAAATATTAGATTAGACCACAAAAAATTAATACTATATATTTTGTATTTTAATTATAGATAGACGTGGGCGGAGTTTGTTATTTCAATTTTTTTTTTTTATACTACTATCAATATAATAATATATATTTTATCATTTTACATAAAAATTAATATTTAATATAAAATATATTTCTAATCTACATAATTTTTTATGTTTTATATATATATCTTAAATCAAAATATTAAAAAAATAAACCTGTGATATTTTATAAAAAAAAAAAAAATAATAATATATCCTTGTCACCTAAAAATGTTCAAACTTTTGATCAAAAATTTTAATGTGCTTACTTTAAAAAAATATAGTATGTTTTATTAAAAAAATAAGAATATTCTTAGATAATTAAAAAGCGGTAAACATATTTTTATGTGACAAACAATTATAAAAAAACTTTTATAATAATAACTCAAAGTAAATATGGCATTCTAAATCTTTTTATTAATATATATATTACAACAATCTCACATTAAAAATATTTTTTTTAAAAGAAAAAATAAAAAAATTACAAGCAAGCGAAGCCAAGTGCATCTCCAACCACACGTCAATTTTGATGTTCCAACTGCATTTATGCCGCTGCGGGTCTCCAATCCAGTGCCAATTGCAACACCATTTTTGGTGTTGCACGATAGCAAACGCCATTTATGGTGTGTTTGTTTTTTTTTTTTTTTTTTTAATTTTTTTTAATTTTTAATATTATAAATTTGACTTATAAATTTATTTTTTATTTTTTAAAATTTTTAAAAAATTTATTTAATATTATAAAAATAAATAGTTGTTTAAAATAATAGGAAAAATTGAATATTTGAAGAATAATAAGACAAAATGGAGTTATGGATAGAATAAAATTACTGTATCAACTGGATAAACGTAGAAATAAAATAATTAATATATAATGTGAAAAACTAAAAGGTCCCACCGGGAGTCGAACCCAGGTCGCTGGATTCAAAGTCCAGAGTGCTAACCACTACACCATGGAACCACGTTTGAACAGGTTTTCAATTTAGTTAATTTTATTATATTAATATGTTAGGTGGGGCGTCGGAAATTGCATAATTGGTCAATGCCTATTACATTACATTACATCGTCATCATCAAAATCAAACTAGAAATTTCCACCATCATCGTAATCAAGTCGTCATCATCATCGAAATAAAGCTAAAGGATTACATCATCATAAAAAAAACACTAGGAAATTAGACCATCGTCATAATCCAAATAAAAGCTAGTAAATAAATTACATAGTCTGTCATCAATTCGTCATCATTAATCGATCATACCATAATTAAGCAATAGGAATAATATTAAAATAAAATTAAAAAGAATTTATATCAAAGTTTTTTTTATTATCTAATCGAAGTCGATGTTTGAGATTTGAATAGTAAAAATTTTGAATTTCAAATAGTTGTATGATGTGATATAAATAGGTGTTTGATTTGATATTTTGAATTTAAAATTATTTTTTAGTATAATATAAAAAATAAAAAATAGGTGTTTAATTTGATGTTTTTGGTAGAGCTGACAAAAACTGACCCGACACAAAATAATTGGGTTTCGGTCAAAGATTTCAACCCGATTATGTATACGGGTTGACACGAACCCGACACGATAGTAAACGGGTCGGGTTAGGGTTGAGCTCTCAACTCGAACCCGACACGACAATCCGATTATAATATACTAATATTGATTAATATATTTATTATATATAAAATAATCACAATTTAATAATTTTTTCATAAATTAATTTAAACTAAGTTCAATTTAAATACTTCAACCTAATTTAGGTTCAAATCAATAAAAACTAACATAACACGACAACATAACAAAAAATTATTTAATTTGAATCAAGAAATTCGACTTAATTATGTATACGGATCAACACGAGTCAACCCGAACCAGACACGATAACAAACGGGTTAACACAAATCCGACACGATAATAAACGGATCAGATTAGGGTTAAGTAATTTAACCCATTTAAAATAGTCAAGCCGACACGAATCGACCCATTGCCGGCTCTATTTAAAATACTGCAAAATTTATTTTCAATAGACAAATATATAAATATATATATATATGAGAGATATCCTTCCGGTGATATTTAAAATTTATTCGGTTGAATAAAAAAGGCCTTTACAAAACTTCATACTCTAAACCATTATTTTGCGGCATTTCGAATACGAAGGTCATTTCAAACTCTCCACTCTATTTTTGCAATTGCTACAGTAAAAATGTAAAAATGCAGTTGATCTACAATAATTTTACTTTAACCATAAACTTCAATTTTTACTGTAAAAAGTATATTCCCTATATATTCCTCTTTTATATTATTTTATATAATTTTTCATATCTATAAATTACACCAAAACTTTAATTTATTTTTACATTAGATCCATACACATATAATTTATATTACTTTTCAACAGTAAAATTATATATCAATTTAAAAAATAAAATTATACATTAGTTTTTTAAAAAAATAAAATTATATTACTTTCCAAAAACTAAAATTATATCGCTTTTAAAAAATAAAATTATACATTATTTTTCAAAAAAAATAAAATTACATACAACTTTTTAAAATATAAAATTATATATCATCTATTAAAAAATTAAAATTATACAATACACCCAAAAAATAAAAAAAATAAAAAAAACAAATACGAGATTATTTTGAAAAAACAAAAAGAAAAAATTAAATAAGTACGAGATGGTGTAGTATTTAAATTGACATTAATTTTAGATTTCAAATTTTTTAAATGAAAATTAAATATTTAATAGAATACACAAACAAAAGCAAACCCTAAAATGCTGTTAAATATAGTGGTGTAAATCTTATTAAAATATTTGAATAAAATAATAGATAATAATTATAAATAAATAAGAAAAAAATTATTTTTGGTTCCAATATAATCAAAATTTATTAATTTTGGTTTTAATATAAAATTTTTATTAATTTTAATGTCAATATAACCAAAACTCATCATTTTTTGTCACAATATAAAATTTTTATCAATTTTAGTTCAAATATAACAAAAACTTATTATTTTTTGTCTAAATATAATCAAACCTTATTTTTTTGGTCCCGCCGTCAACAAACCGACGGAAAATGCTGACGTGGACTTGCAAGATTGTGCAATTTCTTCAAATATAAATATAACGTTTGATTTCTTTTCACGTCAGCATTTTTCGTCGGTTTGTTGACAGTGGGATAAAAAAAGATAATATTTGATTATATTGGGATAAAAAATAATGAGTTTTTGTTATATTGAGACTAAAATTGGTAAAAAAATTGATATTGAGACAAAAAATGATGAATTTTGATTATATTGGAACAAAAATGATAAATTTTAGTTATATTAGGATCAAAATTGATAAAACTTTTATATTATGACCAAAATCGATAAATTTTAATTATATTAAAACTAAAAATAATTTTTTTCCTTGTTATTATCATTTTGTGAAAGCTCACACCACGGATACAAAACGGGGAAATAGAGACTACACCCTCATTCATAGTAGAGACTATATTATTACTTGTCCCAAACAAATAGTCTCTAATAAATTTAAATTACTCCATACTTCGCATATATTAATTATGTTATGATTTTTATTTACGTCGATTCTACATTTATGTCACTTTTTATATAAAAAAAAATCATACATTTTAGTCATATTTTAAATTTTATAATTTATAAAAAAAAATTTAACAAAAATTAATTAGGCTAATTAGTTTTTTAAATTTTCATTTATAAATGTTTATATTAGATTGTAGTAATTAATTTTACTAATATATTTTTAATTGTTTATTAATTGTATTCTTCTAAATTTTTGTATCCTCTTTAACAATGACATTCTATAAGGAAATATTAGTTAAAAAAATAAAAATAAAATCCAAATATAATCTTTTTTATTTTTTTATTTTTTTATCGATAGAGATGAATTTATTTTAAAATTTATTGTAATATTTCATTTAATATTTGTAAATAAATATTTTAAATCTAACTTAGGTTTGAATTTAAAATGGTATATAAGTTTTATTTGATTTATGATTTACTTAATATTATTTGTTTATTTTTCTTTTCGTTACTATATACTCCCTCCGTCCCGATGCAATGTTGCCGTTTAATCGTAAATTTTTTAATATTAGTATAATAATGGGTTGTAGTAAAAAAGACGAAAATACCCCTATTAGTATTGTATAATATAAAAGTAATGACATTTGTGTAATATAGTATATAGTGTAAGTTGGAAGGGTATTTATTATGTTACGTAGTACAATTACTAAATTAGGAAATGATAACCTTGTTTTGGGATGGACGAAAATGAAAAATGATAATATTTCAATAGGACGGACGGAGTATATTATTTAGTATGTTGTTTGAACATTATTTTTAACTGAAGGTAACAACCATATATAAATAATGACAAACTTTTTTCAAATTTATTTTAATTTTAATTTAAGAGTGATTATGAATAATTATTTTTTATCTCTATTATGTTTGAGTTTAAATTGGAGTATATATTTATGAAATTTTGATTCTCTTACTTAATATTATTTACTTGTATTTTTTATTTATAGTTTATTTTTTATACAAATTAATTTTTATTATCTTCGTACTTATTATCAAAATAAAATTTATTATTTTAAATATAAATTAAATTAATATCATATGAAAATATATTCCACTTTAATAATATATACAAATTTTAGAAAATTAATTTACTTACGCAGAGTGATGTCTATGGAGTATAAAAAAAGGAAAAAAACAAAACACCTACCAACTCTACGGTCGTCATATATATACCCAGCAACCGACGAGCCATTAATGTCCCATTATTGGAACTTGTTTAAACTCACAATTAATTAAATTAAATTAATATTGCTTGCAATTAAATTGATTTCAAGAAATTTCCAATCAAATTTACTATATAAATATATACTTAAATCCATGCATGTTTTGAATATATTTCCGTTTACCCATTCGGCGCCGGATATTTCACGCAGCCATGTCCGCCGCCGGAAAACCCTACGACATAGTAATCCTCGGCGCCTCCGGCTTCGCCGGAAAATACGTAACTCGTGAAGCTCTCAAATTCCTCTCCGACCCTAACTCGCCGCTCAAAACCGTCGCTCTCGCCGGGAGAAGTCCGGCGAGGCTCTCCGAAACCCTAGCCTGGGCAATTAGCGACTTCGCCGGCGAAAAACCTCCTCCAAACGTATACACCGTCTCCGCCGACACCGGCGATTCTGTTTCACTCTCGATCCTCGCCGCGCAGGCGAAGATCATGATTAATTGCGTCGGACCGTACCAGCACCTCGGCGAGGCGGTGGTCGCCGCCTGCGTCAGCCAAGGCTGCGATTATTTAGACATCTCCGGCGAGCCGGAGTTCATGGAGAGAATCGAGATGCTGTACCACCGGAAAGCTGTTGAGAACGGCTCCTTAGTCGTTTCCTCCTGCGGAACCGATTCGATACCGGCGGAGATCGGCCTGCTGTTCCATCTCCGCCACTGGAAGTCGCCGGCGACGCCGAATCGTGTCGTTACGTATTTGCAGTCTGATCGGAAAGTCGCCGTGAATTACAGTACGTACGAATCGGCTGTTTACGGTTACGCCAATGCAGAGAAATTGATGAAGATTAGAAAGTCCAGGTCCTCAAGACCCCGTCCACGTGTACGGTTACGATTCTAGATTCTATATAAAATTAAATTTCTTCCCTCCTAAAATCAACGGTTCTGATTCGTTCCGTCTTTGACAGATCCCGGGACCCCCACCGTCGCAGTACTCCGAACCCGTCGTACAACGGCAGAAGCTTCTAGACCTATGGTCGGTGCATCTCCCCGTCGCCGACGCCTCCGTCGTGCGCAGAACCCTAACCACGCTTACAGAAAGCCCCGACGGTCTCGCCGGAAAAAATGAATCCGGTGACTACGCTGCCAACCGGCGATCCTTCTGGTCTTCTATTAAACCGGTCTATTTCTCCACCAAAGTCGCCACAAAATCAATTCTCGGATTGCTTCCATTTCTCTCCCTCGGATTCTTCTTCGACAAGCTCAGCAAATCTCCTCTCGGCCGGCGCCTACTTCTCAATTACCCTAGCCTATTCAGCCTTGGAATGTTCTCGAAGCAGCGACCGACGAAGGAGGAGGTGGAGAGAGGAAATTTCACGATGTGGTTCGTCGGGGAAGGCTACAGCGACGGCGGAGCCGCCGTTAAAAAGGCCGATACGGCGGTGATCACGAGGCTAAGGGGGCCGGACATGGGATACATCACGTGTTCTAGGGTTTTGATTCAGTGTGCGCTGGTGATGCTTTCGGAGAGGGGGAACTTACCTGCGGGCGGCGTTTATACGCCGGGGATCGTTTTTGGGCCGTCGGATCTTCAGGAGAGGCTGCAGAAGAATGGATTGGATTTTGAACACGTGTCCACCTCGACCTCCAGCCTGTCCGACGCTGTGGGGTCCACTACGTCACCATGCTTAATTTTGGGGCAATAAATTCAATTGAAAATTTGGTATCTAACTTATGAATGATGGTTATTGTAAAAATAATTGTTCAATTGGAGTCTTAGACCATCTTCTACAGCTCACTCTTAATTTTTACTATAATAATAACCAGTTATTTTTGTCATTATTTTTATGAAGAGATACAATTATTTATTAGTTTTTGTTAAGAATCGATTACCTTCAAAAACAAAAAATAAATAAAAAATAATAATTTTATATTATTTAAAAAAATTTAAAATTGAACATAAATTATATAATATATATGTTGATTTATTCAAATAATTTCAATTTTTAAAACAATAAATTATATGTTTTAATATATTAAGATTTATATAGATGAAAATATAAAAATTTTAATATAATATTATATAAAAATATTATTAGATAATAAAAATATATAGAAATATGTATAAGTAAATAATTTATATATATTATGTAATTAAAATATATAAAAGTAAATAAATTAGTGTGGATTTATAAAATAGTAAAGATAATGTATAGAACGTGATTACTATAACGAGCTATAAAAAAAGTAATTTAAATGTTGAGTTGGATACGAGAGAGATAAAAAAAATAACAAAGTAGATGTAATGTTTGTAATAGATACTCTTAGGGTCTGTTTGTTTGAGGGATTATATTTTAAATATACTATTATTCATTCTATTTTTTCTCCAAAAAAATATTAAATCAAACACTTATTTTTCATATTTTATACTCCCTCTGTCCCATAAGTAACCTTATGTGTGATATAAAGGTAATGACAATTGTGTAATATATTGTAAGTTGTAAAGCTATTTGTAATATTAAGTAGATAATACAGTTACTGAAAAAAAAAAGAAATGAATACTTTGTTATGGGACGAACTAAAATTGAAAAATAGATAATTTGTTATGAGACGGAAGGAGTACTAAAAATCAAATTTACATTCAAAACATCACATCAACATCTATTTATATCTCATCATACAACTATTCAAATTCAAAATTTTTACTATTCAAATCCCAACTTAAAATCCAAACCCTAAACAAACACACTCGGAATAACTGTTAGGCCCAAATCGGATATTGGGCCCAAATAAGATATTGGGCCTTTATAACACATGAAACAAACAGTACAAAACATAGACACAAAGAAACAACAGTACAATTCCACCAAACGAGTGACACAATCATCAGCACAGTAGTTGGCAAGTTGAGAGTTGGAAGCTACCACATTGTTTGTAGGGCAACAACCAATAGATTGACGAAACGTCAATCCAACGGCTCCTATTGATGCCACGTCATCATTATTTAGACCAATCGAAACCGTCTGTCGTCGACCGAAAGTGACAGCCATGCGGCCATGTCAAAAACAACTTGTGTGCACGTTTTATTTAAATCTTTTTCTTGTTCGAGATATGCAGTTCCCTCACCTCACCTGTGCCGTGCCGCCTTCGGTTCGTGTGCATAAATATTCAAAATCCGCAACTACTCTCCGTCTCTCGTCGGATGAAATCAGTTTCGGTGATTGGTGTTAGTCGCCGTTTTCATCACTTACTCCGGATTGTTTTCCTCAATTTTTGCCTGGTGTTGGATTTGTCTTCTCAAATCCCCAAACGCCTGCTTGTTTGCGCTTTGATGAAGCTGAGCTTGGGGCTTATGCTGAGAGTGAGCTGCTGTTGGATTGAGGTTTGTATTTTTGGGGATTAATTTGGTCTAGTGCGTTCGTTTCTTTTATTTTCTAGAATGGCGATTTTGATTTTGGTTTTGTTTGCGTTTAGTTGAATTTGTTTAATTTCTTAATTTTTGAATTGTGGAACTGCGTTTCTATCGTATATAGTGCCGATTTTGTTCTGAATGGGGTGCTTCAGAATTTTTTTAAGTGTGGAGTAGTGTGCCCATTGATGTTCGTCTGTGTTGAGTGTTGACCGCTGCATTTCTGGCTAGAAAAAAATTGTGATGTTACTGCGGTTGTTTAGTGGATTTTGTTCAGTATGCTAGAGCACTAGAGGCTTCCTAATTGCTCCTGATCTTTCATTTTAACCTTTTATTTTGAATGATTTTCAACTTTCAATCGAGATTATTCAAAAGTGTACTAGAGCTGCAGAATTACATTGTATTGGGAAAATAATAAAAGTAAAGTTAGTGCCTAGTTATTGGCAAATCAACCACTGGCAAGGTTTGTAGTGCTGGTTGTGATCTATAAACAAAAGTTTTACACTGGACTAAAATAGCTTGCATGAGGTTCTTTCAATCTAGTTTGAAGTTGCTAAGATGAAATTTTCAATTTCATTGTGTTTGTGTGAGAAACTTAGCTTTGTCTCACTAACAGTTGCTAGGTGGTGAGATTGTGGTGTATGAAACCTAGCTTAGTGTTATTGTGTGACAATAAGCTAATTATCAAACCTACTTGTTAGTTAATAGTTTTATGTTATAGAAAATAAATGAACTCGCTAAGTTAGTCTATTTGTTGTGGTCTACATATCAACTTCATGAGATTTAGCGCTTCTTTTGAGGACTGTTGGAAGATGTTTAGAAATAAATATAGAGTGATGGAGCATTCTATCAACTTAAAGATATACTTTTGGGTGAAATAAATTTTAGTTTGTGGACAAAGAACAAATAGTTAATAGCAACTTGTATCAGATTGGGGAGGCCAGGCCGTGCATTCGAATCTCATTAATAAGGGTGTCACATGTTGAGGTTTTGGGGACGATATTTCGTTTGCAAGGGGAGTTTGCTGAAAACCTAGGTAAGTTTATAATGATGCATCTCCGTGTCAGCTTGAGTGATTTGAACATGTAATGAAAATTTGAACATATCTTGACGACACATGTCTTAGCTAGCTTATGACTAGGAGAGCATATGAACTAAAGTGCTTGAATCATGCTCGGCTATGTGCACCGTGTGCGTGTGTTTCCAAAAGAAAAACAAACTTAATGGATAATACAATAGTACTATATAATCTTTTAGGTGAAGATAAAAAAGATTCAACATATAAAATGATTGAGATTGAGACTAAACCTTATTAATTCTGTTGAGCTCTATATATCATTCTCGATCCCACAATGCTTCTTGATGCATGTGGATAACCACCTAGTTATATTAATGCCATATTTATTTTATTTGTTGAAGGTAGTTGTTCTTGTAAGAAATAAATTCCATTTATTGAAATGAGAGTGCTTAAGCAAGTTATGAAATGATCATTGTATCTCCTAAGTACAATATCAATCAATTAGAATAGCCGGAAGAGAGATTTTTCGTCGCATTTATTGAAATAAACAATGCCTTGTTATTTCTATCAACGAATGGGCTTTTTCTCTGCCTAGCCTTTTCAAATTTCTACAAAAATTGAAATGCAATAGATGATATTAGTGTTTGTATGGATACTAACATCAATTCCTCTTATTCCTGCCAGGTCAAAACATCGATTATACACTACACCTTCCTGTCTATTTTCCATGTAAGCAAATGAATCCAACGAAGCAGTATCGCTGCATGCACTCCGCCTGCTGCTTATGTACAGCAGGGCACCTTACCGAAGAAATCATCTTCTTAGTCTTCAACCAACTAAACTGGAATCCCAAATTAATCGCTGCATTCTCTTGCACATGTAAATGGTTCGACGATCTTGCCAAGCGAATACTGTGGAAGGAATTCTGCAAAACCCGAGCTCCAAAGATGATGCTCGATTTACAGTCCAATGGAAGCCATAGCGTAGATGGAAACTGGCGCGCCCTCGGTAAGCTCCTCATATACTGCTCAGGATGCAACAAGGACGGGTTATTCAAGAGCAACCAAATCCCGGGACACTTTGTGTACAGGACTCGATTCTCAAGGACATCAGGCAAGAGCTTTCTGTTACCACAATGCAGGACGGATGTTCTATACGTGTCTGATCCATGCGAGCATCTCGACCAGGGGGATGATGGTGATGTCGGATTTTTCCGTGGGATTTTCAAATCTTTTGTCACATCGAAGGTCAGGAAAATGCTTATAAGGAAAAGCGCACCACTGCATCCGACGGAAGTGTGCCCTTACTGCAAAGCGAAGCTCTGGAACATGCTGGCTGCAAAAATGGTGCCATCGAGCGCAAGCTGTCGCCTAGGCGCGTATGAAGACTGCATCGAGTATTACGTTTGCCTTAACGGACATATGCTTGGGATTTGCACGCTGCTGCCGTTGTCGGACACTGATGAGGTGGCGTCGGAAGACGACGGATAAGCTCATGCAAATATAATATATCAGGTAGCCTTCAGCCTCATCTTCTTTCCTTAATGGCGCTTAGCTATTCAAATCTTATTGTTAATGTTTATAAAGGGAGCAATTGAATGCAACTAACTGCCTACCTGTTGATGAAAAGAGAGAATGGATTGATTGCTTCAAGGGAGTGGGCAGCACAGGTAAGTTTGTGTTTTGGCTGTGTATTAATTATGTGTTGTTTGTTGTATCTATCGAGTCTCTAACTCATGACGGCCCTTCTTTAAAATCCTCAAATGCTGTTAGTAGTTCTTTCTACTCACCAAATGCTCACTTACTGTAGAAAATTTTACATTAATAACGTGTCTTAAGTGAACTGCAGTTTAGTACTCAAAGAACTTCATTATGACAGTAAGCGTAGTACTATTTTTAACTATAGAAATCTCAGTTGTGTACTCTACTGTAGGTAGGGAAGTTACGGACCGCTGTTTTTGGCTTGTGTCAGTTCACGAGTGATAGCACGTGCACGTGCATGCATTCGATATCCTCATGTTGCCGATGAAACCGCCTCTTGGTTTTCTGAGGATGAAGCTTCGGAAGCCGATTCCAGCTTCCGGAAGACGAACTTCTGCTGGGGCAATTGGCCATTGGAAAAGGCCGTGACCTCGGTGTCGACAAGTATACTGTCCTCCTCCTTGTAGTCGCCTCTCAAAATCCCCTTTGCGAGTTCGTTTTCAATGTACTGTTGGATCACTCGTTTCACCGGCCTTGCTCCGTAGTTCGGATCATAGCCGAGGCTCCCTAAGAGCTCTATCGCTGCGTCGCTCACCTCTATCTTCATCTTCCGATCGGCTACCCTTTTCTGCACCCGATCCAACTGCCATAAACACCAAGAGAAGATATTAGTCAAGCCGCATTGTTCAGCAAGTGGGACAAATGGGTATTTACCTGTAAGCGAACGATGCTGCTGATCTGTTCCCGGTCGAGAGGCTGGAACACTATATACTCATCGACCCGGTTCATGAACTCGGGGCGGAAAATTGCACGTGCAGCCTCCATCACGCGATGTTTTATCGTCTCGTAAGCCATCTCCGTGTTCTCATCCTCCTGCGTGTTCAGTATATACTGCGATCCGACGTTCGACGTCATGATAATCACAGTATTCGTGAAGCTCACGGTCCGCCCTTGTGAGTCGGTCACCCTCCCGTCGTCGAGGATTTGAAGAAACACGTTGAATACGTCGGCGTGGGCCTTTTCTATCTCGTCGAACAGAATAACAGCGTACGGCCTCCTCCGCACCGTCTCTGTTAACTGGCCCCCTTCCTCGTACCCAACGTACCCAGGCGGCGCCCCTATCAGCCTCGACACAGCATGCTTCTCCATGTACTCGCTCATGTCGATTCTCACCATCGCTTCCTCCGTGTTGAAGAGGTAAGAGGCGAGCGCCTTGGCCAGCTCGGTTTTCCCGACACCTGTAGGGCCCATGAACATGAAGCTCGCGATTGGGCGGTTGGGGTCCGATAAGCCCGCTCTCGATCGCTGTATGGCTTCTGCGACGGCTCGTACTGCAGGGTCCTGTCCGACTACGCGCTTGTGCAGCTCTTCCTCCAAGTGCAGGAGCTTCTCCCTCTCGGATTGTTGTAGCTTGGAGATGGGAATTCCCGTCCATTTGCTGACTATTTCTGCGATGTCGTTCCCGGTGACTTCCTCTCTGAGCATCGACTTTCCCGACCTCATGTACTCATCCAATTCTTTCTCTGCAGTGTCGAGCTGACGCTGCAGGGAATTTAAGCTCCCGTATTTCAACTCGGCCGCCCGATTGAGATCATACTCTCGCTCGGCTTGCTGTATCTCCAGATTTACTCTATCGATCTGTAAAAGTTTTTAAGTTAGAACTCTATAAGTTTCCGGTACCAAAAGGGTTCGAATCGGAAAAAATGTATACCAAGCAAGGATTAAGCAATTACCTCTTCCTTGATCGATTGGATGCGCGTCATTACAGATTTTTCATGCTCCCATTGCTCGGTCAGATCGGCCTGTCTCTGCTTCAAGAGAGACAGTTCTGCCTCCAGGCGATTCAACCTATCTTTCGATGCTTTATCAGTATCATTAGTCAGGGATAGCCTCTCCATCTCAAGTTTTAGAACTGCCCGATTAATTTCATCGAGAGCTGTTGGTTTTGAAGTTATCTCCATTTTCAATTTGGCAGCAGCTTCATCGACAAGGTCAATAGCTGGAATGGAATAAGTATTAAATAGTCAGTAGATATATATCATCATATAATGCGGAAGGAGCGAAAAAGGAACTGCGAAAGAGGGAATCTCTACCTTTGTCGGGAAGAAACCGCCCACTGATGTAACGATCGGATAGAATTGCTGCTTCGACAAGGGCACCATCTGAGATACGGACTCCATGGTGCAGTTCATATCTTTCCCTCAAACCACGGAGGATAGAGACAGTGTCTTCTACAGTGGGTTGGTCGACGTACACCTGCTGGAACCGACGTTCCAGGGCTGGATCTTTCTCTATGTATTTACGGTACTCGTCTAAGGTGGTGGCTCCGATGCACCGGAGCTCTCCACGGCCAAGCATGGGCTTCAAGAGGTTCCCGGCATCCATTGCACCGTTTGTCGCACCTAAAAATGCATAACATCCGTATTTTAGGGTGTCGGAGAACTGAACTATTGACGGCAAGTAGAACCTAGGTGGCAGAAGAGCCTTGAAATGTGCTATGGTATTGGTAACTAAATCATTGATTAAAATGTCTGGTGAATTAACAATGGCAGTTACCTGCACCAACTACTGTGTGGATTTCATCGATGAAGAGGATTATCTGGCCATCAGAATCAGTGACTTCCTTCAGCACAGCCTTTAATCTGTCTTCAAATTCTCCGCGGTATTTTGCACCAGCAATTAGAGCTCCCATGTCGAGAGATATCAACTGCACCAAGAAACGGAATTAGCTTCAACAGACGTAGTGCGAGCTAGACGTGATGGCAATATCGATAGCTCAAGCTTATATACATACCCTGCGATTCATCAAAGCCTGTGGAACATCTCCTTGTACAATCCTCTGCGCAAGCCTGCCATTCAGAGAAAATATGTATATATATATATATATATATTACAGACAACTTGAAACCCTCTAATTCGAAATTGAATCAGCAATTTCTATCTTCAAATTGCCATTTCCTTAGTTTGCATAAGTATGTTTATATCATTATAAAAAGAATGATTATTGGCTTACCCTTCAGAAATTGCAGTTTTTCCAACACCAGGCTCACCGATTAGAACAGGATTATTCTTAGTTCTCCTAGAAAGAATCTGTATGCATCTCCTTATCTCGTCATCCCTTCCTATGACTGGGTCCAGCTTGCCTGCTCGAGCCATGGCTGTCAAGTCTTTTCCATATTTTTCAAGTGCTTCATATTTTCCTTCGGGGTCTGCGGAAAATGGAAAACAGCACAGATAAGATTTACCCTTTTCAAATGCAACTTAGAACAAATCTGGCATAATCTACTACAAAGAATGAAAATTAAGAAACTAAAACACAGAATCTCTTTCCAACGAAAGCTTCAACAATATAGTTTCGTGTATGATCTGTTTGAATCCAAGTGCATAGCTAGTTTACGATATTGCGAAAATCAGTATAAATTTCAGAACATGTTCTGTTCCCCTTCTCAAAGAGTGCACATCCAATCTAAAACTCAGGACTTAGAACTCTACCACGACTAATGCCGGCAAGGCAACCACTCCCAAGTGGTAAGATTCACTATAATTTAAGTTACTCATATAAAACAGGCAGTATGGATAAGCAAACGACACTCAATAATCAATGACAATGTTCTATCAACTTTAAAACTTGCATAATAGAGAAATGTAAATACTTACCCTGGTCAATAACTGTTTGACGTCCTCGAATGGCCTGAATGGCATCTTTCAATGATTTCAGTGAAAGTTGGAAATCCTTGAATAACTGCTTCCCGAAACGCTTATCTTCTGCAAAACCAAGAACCAGATGCTCCACTGAGACGAATGAGTCGCCGAACTCTTTCTTGTACTCCCTGGCTTGCTGTAATAGCGCTTCAAGATCTCGTCCTAACATTGTGCCAGCGGATTCACCAAGAACCTGACATGGTGTTTACAGAGGTTACACATGTCACAAAATCACCAAGTCAACCTCAATGAATCATATTATGAATGCCAAACTATTCATGCTTTATGCAGGCTAATAGCCATAATAACAAGTTAAACTGATACTGACTAGTGCATAGACAATCACATCTTCAATATACATAAATAGAATTGGAGAGAACATTTTATAATTGGTGTTATGCCACAGTAAAATGACAAAGAAACATATGAAGATGATAAAATTTAGATGCAATTTTAAGTCAATTGCATAGATCCTAAAATTTGCCGATCCTAACAGAAGTAAATCACTTAGCACTACATAAAACAGTAATATGGAATAACTGAAGACAATTTCAAGTTACCTTTGGCTGGCGTTGAATGTATTTATCCGTTGCTTCAAGCAGACGAGTATTATCCACACCAGCCTTGGAAAAAATACGACGAGCAAGTCCATTCTTCTGCTCCAAAAGAGCCTTCATCAAATGCTCAGTCTCCACTATCTGATGCTTATTCTCCTTCGCCACTTCCGGCGAAGATACAATCGCTTGCCACGCCATTTCCGTGAAATCCCCTTGCGTAATCTGTAGTTGCAAAACAAAACAACAAGAACAATGATAATGATAATGATAATAAATCCTCAAACCAAAGCATTCAATCACATGAACCCAACCACACCATCCAAAAAATGGAAAAACAGCAAAAATCGAAAATCAGCTTACTCGTCCGGTCGAGGAAGCCTCGCAGCGTACTCTGAGTGATCGGAAATTCCTGGCAAATCTATCCGATTTATCCTTGAAAACCGCGCCCTTACTCCTTAACTTCAACGGATTCACATTCTTCAACGCTCCAGGTTTGGTTGAGAAGTTAATACACACCGGCGTTCGGGAGAACAAGGCGGTCCTGCTCGCGCACTCCGACGGATGAACATTAAGCTGAACGGCGGCGTACGACGAGGCAGCCATCAAACTCCGGCGAGGTATCAAAATTGTGAGTGGTATGTAGATAGGTTGGGAGGAAATCTGCTCCGGCGAGATATGAGCGGTGCAACGGTCAGTGATTAGGGGAATTTAAAGGAGGAGACGAGTGGATTCTGGTAGGTTCCAGCGAAACCAACAAGTGTATGTGAAGCTAAATTAGAGAATTCCGGATTGATTGGGGTCAGTGGTAGCATTCGTATCTCGCTTGGGTACACAGAGTGCACGGTGCCATTGGTGCTTCCCCAATCATTTCACGACACGTGTATGGGAGACCTCTAACTTGGGTCACGTATGATTATTGTATTCAAAATGTGATGCGTTTCTTCTGAGTTTAGAAAAAAAAAAAGTTTGAATTTTGTATGAAAATAATATTGGATGATAAGCTTTGTGAGAAGAAAAAATATACTTTTTTTTTTTTAGTCGGTTGTTATTTTTTATTTACCATTTTCTAATTTAACAATGGTACTACTTACCTAACATAATAAATACTCTTTCGACTTACACTATATTACACAAAAGTCATTACTTTTATATTACACAATACTAATAGGGGCATTTTTGTCTTTTTCACTACAATTTATTATAATACTAATATTCAAAAATCTACTTACAAAAAGTAAACGAGCAATCTTGCACCGTGACGGAAGGAGTATATTTTTCGGGAAACTTTGCTAAAAAAAAAATGTGGTTGTGTTCTTTTGTTGTTTGAAATTACGTGTGCTTTGCTTTTTATATACTCCTATATTTTTTCTCACACATTTTTTTTTTTAAAAAATATTAATACACTAAACATTTATTATTTTTTTATTTACTCACATAAAATATATATTTTTGTTATATGAAATAAGAGTATTATCTAAAATTATGTTAATAAAATTTTAATATACAGTAAAAAAGAACAAAATAATACTTCTGTTATTGAAAACTCTATGAATAATATTAATTTTGATTCTAAATAGTAAAAAAAAATAAAAGGCATATATTATCTACCCAACACTATTTTAAAAAATCCTCAATTCTTAAATTAGTATGTGGATATAATTAGATATTAAATAAAATTAAAAGATAAAATTAATTTAAGCCGTGCTGAATTATGCATTTCCATGCTGAAAACACAGACAAATATTTCTATTGAATTATTCTTGTTTATTTATATATTTTTACTTAATTACTATCCAGTTTCCTATAAACATACATCATTACACTCACAAAATATTAATTTAAATTCAAATTAAAAGTGCATAATCCAACTCTAACTAGACAAACTCATTCATTTAGCAGTATGCTTTTATCTTACAAAATATTTTTAAAAGTACAAATAAATAAACCCACTCCGTATATAAATTAAAATAATCAATGCAATTAAGACATTATTTTACTTTTTCAACTCTAAATAAATATTATGGTTGTGGTTGTTTGGGGGATTGGATTGGATTTACACTATTCATTCTATTTTTCTCCCAAAAAATATCAAATCAAACACTTATTTTTTATTTTTTATATTATACTAAAAATTAATTTTACATTCAAAACATCACATCAACACCTATTTATATCACATCATACAATTATTCAAATTCAAAATTTTTACTATTCAAATCCCAACTCAAAATCCAACCCCCAAACAAACACACCCTATATATATATATAAATATAAACACATAAGTTTTTAGTGAAGAAGTTGCTTATAGAGCTTAAAATTCCTTTCTTTTTAAATCCACTTTTCCGTTGTATCCCATAAGCAAAGAACATATTATAGGATATTTAGTAATGTGTGTTTCCCTGCAGAATGACAAGAATTTGGCGCATATCACGAACAAAGAGTAAAGCTGTTTTTTTAATCTAGTATGACTTTAAATGCAACTGTCTAAAAATAGTTCTGTAAGTAATTTTTTTTTTTTTTTTACACATTGGTCACGTTGGTCTACAGTTGCTGACCTAGTGCTGACACGGATGACATGTCATCGCCACCACGTTAGCGACATATGAATTTTTTTTAATTTTGTCTTACAAAATTTTTGGTAAACTATTTTTTAAAGTCCCATATATGACTTTATTTATCATTTTTAGTACTTTAAATAAACTCTTAGGTAAAAATTTTTAGCTAAAATGATCCTCCGACTTGGCATTTACGTGGCGATGCAACGTTAGCAACGGTGGGCCAGCATAGCGAGTTTGGTACTGTAGGACCATTTTAGCGAAAAAAATTTAGTTATGGGACTATTTTGAGACATAATCTACTTAAAGTTTTAAAATGATAAAGGAAGTCAAATACAGGATAAAAAAAAAAAAAAAAAAAAGTTTAGCCCAAGAACAAATGCTACAATTAACTCAATTCCTTTTAAGGTGTAACACAATGATTAAATAATCTCATCCAGTTAACTGTAAACACCAAATCATGTGATAGAAAAAATCAAATTCAAATAAAGACTAGAAAAAACAAAGCAAAACAGTATACAGCCACAGATACACACAAGAAGTACTAAACATATTTCTTCCACAAATTCACAAACCACAAAAACAGTATATGGAAAAGAATAATAATAATAATCTGTATTTTGCCAATATGGCGAGGAATGGTGGCTTACAGAGAATCTGCATCCTAAGTCTCATCTCACAGTCATATGCATTATCATCACCATTATTCCTCTATGAAGGTCAAAAAAACAATGTACGTACGTATGTATCTATGTATCTATGTCCATACTCAATCGAAAAAGGAAAATATACCAACAACAATGAATGCTACTTTACATAACGAAAGAATGGAACTCAGGCCAGTCTAGAAGTGTACCTTTTTATACTGCGCCAAAATCGGGATCCCCTTTGATTTTGGAAAGGCTTTTGAAAATCTTGAAATATCTACACCCCACACGAGGCTTAAAGGCATATATATATATGTACCCGCGATCATGTATCGTCATTTGTCCCATGAGTGCTCAGGTGTGTGTATTTATGTATATGTATCTATATCTTGCATTGGTTGAAGACTGCTACTCAAAGAAGTGGCAATTTCGAATGAAATCATTAGAGTAGTTTACGTACTTGGTCCAAAATGGGCGGAGATGTTCAAAGCCAATCTCCAGCCAGGGCTTTGACTGGCCATTGTAGTGAATCACTGCAGCCTTTTTAACATTTTCAACGGAGGTCTTGTTCTGATAGCCCAACCCCAGCATGTGCCAGGTCGGGGCGATTGGGTGGACGTGGCCCTTGAATGCAATCAGAGCAGGAGGGAGAGTCCCGAGTTTCCATAATGTCATGTTTGACTTCAGATTCTGCAAAATGTAAGAATGCATTGCAAGAACCTCATTCAAAAGCGTATGTTATAGGAGGCGTAAGCATTAAATGGTTTAGTTTCTTATGTAGACAGCATTTTTTCTTTTTTTCAGTATAGCTTACCACATAAATGTGCTTAGGGGTAATATTGAGATTCAATTTTAGATTTCTTACACTTGGACTATGTAAAAAAAAAAAGTCGAATAATAATTTCAATTGGAGGTTGCATAAAATTGAAAAGGGGACATTGAGCAGCAAGTGGTTAGCATACCTCCTTAAGCCATGCATGATATGTATCTCTAATATTCGTCTTTCTCCATGCATCCAAGTCGAAGATATTCATCCCATAGGCCCATGCACAATCATCGGGATTTAAGCTCTTTATTATGAGTGGATGAGAGAAGTTGAAATAGTTCCTGAACCGCTTAGACATGACCCATTCATCTTCTCCTTTGCAAGTCTCTACAGCTCCATTAACTTTTCCATTGAGGTCGATTTCCCAAAGAGGAGCCAGATCCCTTTGAACTACAACATCATCGTCTAAGAAAACAACCTTGTCCAGGCTCGGAAATAGCTGCAGCGTAAATTGTTATTCTAAGCATTGAAACAATAATGATAATACACCAGATGGTGAATGTTGATTTCATATCGATGGTTCCATAATGTAGATGAGCAAAACTATCATCAGCTCTTTTAAAATAAATTCAACACAATTAAAAAGCCATAGATTACCTCAGGAAGGTATATGCGAAGATGATTGAGGAGTGAGATATACTTTGGGCTTCTTGCCTGTAATTTTGAGGCAAATATTCGCGGGGTAAGGTTGCTGAGATTGGCTGTGGTGACATGATTTCCATGATAATAATTCCGTACCCCATAATGGCTCTCAACCGCTTCAAGAACAGGGACATTCTCTCTTGTTAACCAATCAAATTGATGAATACCTTTAACTTCAATGATAGCAGGGTACATAGGATGCAATGCAAACCATGAATGCATGCCTGGATAAGTTTTCTTGTCTGTTATGACATGGAAAACAATCTTTTCAGGGTTTAGGGAAGCCTGGATGGTAGATGTCACAACCACAGAAGCAGCAAGAATGTTGTCAGTCGACACAACAAAGTGGTGGTAAGAGTTGTCGGAAAGCAAAGGAAGTAACTCCGGAGAAGGTAGTTGCCTCCGTGCGTGAGCATTGGAGGAATATTCATCGGTTAGCCTCAATGAAAGACAGTGGATAGACTTAGGAATAGCACTAGCAGCAAAGTGTTTATTCATTAGCTCGGAAAACTTGGACTCCCTGGTCTCTCTTTCATATTTCTCCATCTGTTGGATATTCAAAATATATAAATTTAGCATGGAAATATCCCAGAAATAAATTCTTGCAAATAAAGAGGGATAACATAATCTAAACAAGTAAGGAGAATCTCAAATTCTGGTTCATATCATTTTGCAAACAGAAATAAATCAGGAATGCTATAAGTGCTCTACATGAAGCTATCAGTCTTCCAAGTTTTCATCAATTAATTCATCCAAAAATGCTTTAAATGTATTAAATAAAATATTCGAAACAATGGTGGCAAAGAAGACAAATAATTGCCATCAAACAAGTTTCTATTCTCTTCTAAAATAAATAAGCTTCACTGAAAAGGAAAGGAACAATCAAATTCTTTCACAAATTTGATAAAATCAGTGCAACTCGCACATGATAGCACACCGCACTTTTTCTCCCTTGCATTTAACACATATGGATTCCACTCAAAGATGGCGGACATAGGTCTTATGAGAGCTACAAAAAAATTTACAATATTCATAGAGAAAGAGTAGAATGGAGCTCATACCATTCCTTTCAAAATCAGAGCAAACTCCTTGGCATTATACTTGTTGCTTTTCAATTCAGATACAAGGTTGCTGAATGAGTCCGGGATCTTTAGATTATCTGGGATTTTCTCAGAGTTCACTTGATTCATAATTTTAACCAAGTCCTTGACCAGCTTCTGTCAATGCGGCATCAATATTAGGTTTCAAATGAATGGTCTATTTAAGTTTCATAAAAAGGAAAGTAGAAAGATAAAACGCACCCCAGAATCATCAGCTCTACCAAGAAACTTTGGCCCCAATCGTCTTCCTAAACAGTCTGAAACAGACAGAAATGGAAACACGAGACCTTAAATTTCAATTTCCATATAAGAAGTACAAAAAAGCACATACCAAAAAAGACATTCACAAATAGGCCTATATAGTCGATTATCACTTGTCACATATTCACTTTATTGGAGATGTGCAATACAGATCAACATAACCACAAAGAACCTCAGATCAGTAAAACTTATCCTGTCCCCAGTTCATCGCTAACATTTCTTCAGCTCAATAAGCAAACTACAACTACTTCTGATTGCATTTGAAAAATAAAGGATCACAGCCAACACTACACGAACAACACAAAGGCAGAAACAACAATTCATTCCCATATGGATCACCATGTTACGAGTCCATAATATCATTACCACTAAAGAATCACCAATCATAAACAGACTGCAGGGAAAAGGAAAATGAAGGGAAGTACCAAGTGAGGAGCAATTGTTGACACCTTCAAGTGTAACTAAGGCGGTGAGAATGAACACAAACGGCAACAGAAATGCAAGTATCAAGATGGTGTAGAAGAGCGTGCGATACGAAATGTGCCGAGCTGCAACCTTGATCTTCATCAAATCTCCCACTCCTCCATTGCCAGCAGTTCCACCATTGACGCTCGAAGATATTGTTATACTTCTCATGCTAGGTGAGAAGTGCAGCTGCATCTTCCTCCACCGCCGCCACCGACGCCAATATTTTCAACAACGATAGTTTCCGAATAAAATCGATTCACAAAATCCCTATGAATTGCCCTTGCGCTCTTCACCATCAGATCCGCCGACGCCTCTATTCAGCAATCCTGATTTCCACCTCCGGCGGTGGATTCCACCGCATTCAAAGTCCTAATCCTAGAAATTCGATCATATCCGCAAACCCTAGGATTTCCGATTGCCTCTCCGGTACGTATATCTGCACGCATGCACAAACAACAAATCTTCTGGAAAACCGAACAATGAAGGAATCACGATGCTAGATTTAACGCGACAGTCAAATGAACAAATCAAATCGACTCGAATACGCCTCAGGCACAAAAAATTCTGCCGTATTCCGTCGATCAAATGCTGGTGATTGAATTTCCGAGCCTGGATCGGAAGCCGGAGGAGCGAATGCTGAAGATGAATTTGATTGGCCGATCGATTTCGATCTATAAACAATTTCTTCCTTTTCTTTTCTTACATTTAATTTTCTCCGACAAAAAGTTTGACTGCAGGGGGGCAATGATTGAATTATGGTTAAATGCAATTTTACCCCTAACACTTTACTAATTACAAATCGATCCCTAATCTCTTGTCTATTATGACAATAGACGGTTCGGTTCGTGTGGCAAATAGAAGACGAAGTTACTTGTATATCTTCGATTTCGAATGCTCGTGACACGTGCCAAACTGCTACTAGTGTGTTTGAGTATGTTTTAAAGTTGCTTATTATTATTATTATTTTTTTTCAATTAAAAAATATATATATTTATATTAACATTTTTATAATAATAATAATAATTAGTTATACTACTATTTTAGTATCATCACATAAGAAAATAATATAAAACTATTTTATTTTGGATTACTGTTTCTAATAAAGAGTCAATGTCTATTTAGGATTTTTTTTATACAATTTTAAATAATATTTTTAAAAATGTTTTATAAAAAATATGTTTATTAAAAACTAAATTATAAATATGTGTCTAAGTAAACAATACATGTATTCAAGAGTTTGTTTGTTTAGTGAAATTGTTTGATTTTATATATATATATATATGAAGATAGCGAATTGGGTAAATAATATAAAAATAATGAATATTGTATAATATATTAATTTTTGTTTTGGAGATGTATTTTTGAGAAAATGTGCTTTTTATTAAAAGAACACATCTTTAACCAATAATGTATTTTTGTCTTGCTATAAATGTCATATCATTTGTAAAACCTCTTGCCTTTCAATTTTTTGTTTGACGGAAATTTTTATGACTCTTTCAGTTTTAGTTGCTTATTTCGCAACATGTTATCGAAAATATGTACTATTTCAATGATGTCAAATGGATACTGTTATTTCGGACTAACTTTTTTCTACCGGGACTGTCGTAAAATTGGACAAGTACAGGTTTCTCATGCACAATTTTCGCCAAACAAGTTTTCTTTATATCGTCCTTGAACTCAATATCATCATGGACCTGCAAGCAATGGGCGATACCTCTTATTACTGGTTGTTTGCGTCTCCTTAAAAATTTGCTCCGCTTTGACCACATTGGTCGTTAATTGTCACAAATTATGATACTCCTACAAGGTTAGTTTATCTCGGAGGGTAGGATGAATGTTGTCAATAATAATATTAACAACATGATTTTCCGGTATGCGGATTTGACATTGGTTTTTTACTCGCTGGAATCGTTCTAGAAATTGTTCCACAGATTTGTCTGCTCTTTGCCGTAGTTGATTAAGTCCATTATGGTCACTTCGAGCAGCAAGCTGTAGAAGCGCTCGTAGAATATACATTTTAATTCCGCCAAAATTTGTACCAAATTAGAACGCAATAAAGCGTACCAACTAAAAGCGGGTTCTGTCAAGGACAAAGAAAACAACTAGAATTTGAAAAACTCGTTATTACCTAACTCTCCACCACCTGAGCCGTAAATTGGCTCACGTGTTCGAAAGTAGATTTGGAATTTTCCTCCGATAATAAGGTGAACTCCAGTTCGTGCATTTCTTGGCAATGGATGTTCTTCAACAATTCAATTGGAAAATGAACATTGGTACTGCGACCTGACAAACATCCATAAAAAATCACCATAGACTCTCTGGACTGCTTCGTCTAATGTATATAGATCCACTGACGGATTCTTCTTCATGTTCTCCTATTACCTCTAGTTAGGTGGAATCCGTTGGGAAAAATCTTCTGTCGGGCAATCCTCCCGCATGGGCAAAAGACCTTAAAATATATGTCCTTCTCCGACCGGAGGTAAATAATTTGCCACTAGAGGTTACAGATTCTAATACATTGGCTTCCTAACGAACAGTTGTGGTCGTTGTCCTTCGGGAATACCCATAGCTGGTACTCTTATAGGCCGATTAGTAGAAATCGGCCGTTTCACTAAAATCCGTTGGAACGGATTTGGACTGATATTTCTGATGGGTATTGTGACAGTGCCTATAAAACCACCATGATTGTCATACCATCCACAGTTATCTGTCCACTGCCAATGAATAAATCGGAGAGATTTGAGCGTACGAGCCACACGAAACTTTATACTATGAAACAGGAACAACGAAGTATTGCCCCATGATATACAATTCTTCCGTGGCCTTGGTGAAAACAATGGGACAGCATTTCCTCTTGAAAAATCTCCTGCTAGGTCAATAAACCCTCCCCCTTCCCAAAGCGGATTGACTAGATTGAGGGCACTAGCGGCAGAAAATCAGAGTTCTCCTTAAGGAGGCACATTCGTGGAAGTAGCTGATGAAGCTTCATCCCTTTGTAATATGGAAACTTGTCTATATTGTAGCCGGTGGGAAGGAGGACTACCTAAAGTGGCTGAAAATATGAGACAACGTCGACAACATGGCTATCTTTCATCAGTGTTTTATCTTTTTTAGCCCCTTTATTTCGCAACAAGGCTATTTCATCGTGGATAGCCCGCCGATTCACCTTCGTTACATATTTGGACACCAACATGGTTGAATGATATAGAGATTACTACAACTTTCCTTGATTTGACTGTTGAATACATCGGCGGTAGAACTGGAAATAGGTCAGATCAGACAAATTGTTGACTGAACATATTAGACTTATTTTGAAAAACTAAGATTTGAGCATAGCCTATTAGCATTTAATAAAATAACTATAAAGCCTAAGCCTGGTCTATTTTTAAGTATGTATAGTTTATGAGTCTATTTAAAAGTTTATATAATAATTAATTTTTTATTTTTTAAAATTCAATATTAGTAAAAAAAATTAATGCAATTACTATTATTTTTTTATATATATAATTATAGTTAAAATAAATTGATGTTATATTTGGTTATTATCACTAAATTAATTTTTTTTTTAAATATAAACACTTAAAAATATAATAATGTTATGTATTAAATCAAAATTATATATATAAATAGGCCTAAAAGACTTTTTTTTTTTTTTTGTAAAGTCTAAACCTATTCTAATTAATTAAATAGGATTTAAAATAAACTTAAATTGAATTGTTTAAATACATATGCTATACTAAACCAAATTTTATGTCGGTCAAGCCCTAAACCCCTGATGGGCCGCCTAGTCTATTTTCACCCATAAGGTGGACACGGATAAGACCGGTTGCTTTTTATTTTCATTGTGAGATGAAAACTTTCCGGTGTTGGGATCACAGTCATGTGAAACATTTTATTGATCATCGGTGTTGTTCTTTGGTAGCATAATATGTGGTAGTTGTTGGCTACGCAATTGTATTCGATCGTGAAACACAAAACAATTGTGGTTCATACTTGACGTACTAATTTTTTGTATCAAAAAATTTGAATAGTCAATTTATTTCATTTTTAGTAATTCTGCTTACTACATAACTTAAAAAAAATATCTTAAACTTAAATATTATTACAATAATAATAACAATCATTGTTTAAAAGTAATATTCATAATTTTTTATATAAAAGTAAACAAATATATACATATGAGATTGATATAATATATGGTTTTTTATTTTTGTCAAAACATTTCAATGTATTTTTCAAAAAAAAATTAATATACTATATACACTTACATAGTTTTTTAATATCTTATGTAAATAAAAAAATTTTCTCAAACCAAAACACAACAAACACACCCTATATTTTATGGTTGTTTTTAAATATATTTTATATTAAATTAAATCAAATAATTAATTTATTAAAAATATTTATATTATATTTTGCTAAACTAATTAATATTTCTCAAACCAAAAAATTAATATATAGTTTGCGATGTTACTCTATTGTATGATGTCTTTTTATTTCATTTTTTTTTTTTATTTTAGTTCTCTTTCATTGTCTTTTATTTTTACTTTTTTTTAGAATTTATTATAATATCTATAAGAATAATACTTATTTATTGTTTAAATATTTTCTAATAGTAATTTTTTTTAAAAAAATACAGATTAGTAATATTAAAATTTTTAAATCAATTAATGTTAAATATTTTTTTTGAAATATTTATTATTTAAACTAGTTGATCCTCGTTATGGACGGACTGATTTATTAGAATATAAAATTTATATAAATAATATTATATTATATTGAACTCAAATATTTTTAAAATAAAAAATAATTAAATAATGACTAATTTTCTTCTCAGCACATTATTGTTTTAAAATAATTTTCTAATTTGAACATATATTTCTTTATATTAAATATAGAAAGAAATAATATTTTGAATATGTTTTAAAAATTCACTATTGAATTTTCTAAATTTTACCATGTGTTGTGGTGGGTTAACCAGCAAATAATTGAATTATGATAAATTATGAATTAATCCCTCCTGTCAATCCATTTTAACAACTTTAAATAATAATAATAATAATAATGGTTGAGTTTCTTTTTGTTGAGTTTGAAAAATTTTGATTTTAATTTACTATTAAAATAATATTTAATAAAATATTTTGTCGAAAAAAAATTTCTTTTTTAAAAAAGAAATATAGAGTTTAAATAATAAAATTTAAAAAAAAAATTAATTTAAAGAAACCAACTCAATAATAATAATAATAATAATAATAATAATAATAAAATATAAGTTTATTTCTAAAGTGTGGTAGCATATGCATTGGAAATGTAATGAAGCGTTGGGAACTTAGCAGATAGTTAAATAGAGGGGTTGGATTGGAACTTGTTGCCTGCTTGCAGGAGTTCACTTACACATGCAAAACTACCTACTGCTACTTCCACTAAAACAACCAATTCTTATAAATTAGTTATTTTTTCTTTTAGGGTGTGTTTGTCTGGGCTTTGGATTTTAAGTTGGAATTTGAATAGTAAAAATTTTAAATTTGAATAGTTGTATGATGTGATATAAATAGGTGTTGATGTGATGTTTTGAATGTAAAATTGATTTTTAGTATAATATAAAAAATAAAAAATAAATGTTTGATTTGATGTTTTTGGGAGGAAAATTTTGGATGAACAGTGGAATTTTGTCTAAATCTATCAAACGAACACACCCTTAATATATTTTCTCAATTCATTATCCAT